GGCGTGGGGCCGCAGGGTGGATGACGGAGTGGTCGCCTTCGTCAACGCCCTTCTGGGGGTCACGGCTGCCCCCCGCGAGCAGATCTTCATGAAGGTCAGCGACGGAGGCCTGGGCTGTGGCAGCGCCGAACAGCGCGGCCCCGCTGCCCTCCTGGCGTCCTGGGAAGCTGGGATCCACGCGGCTGCCCAGGAGCTCCGAGAGACGACAACGATCGGCCTCTTTCGGAGGTGGCCAGGCCTTGGCCGTGCCCTCTCGGCAGCGGACGAGGAGCAGGGGCGGCTGGCAGGAGGCCGTCGTCCCCAGAGTGACCGCTGGCAGGGCCTTCTGGAGGGGCGGAAGGGCAAGGACCAGCAGACGTACACCCAGCACATGCGGGACCGCGCCGCCAAGACGTTCTTGGCCGCGCTGCCCGTGACGGCGGCGGCGGCGGTGCATAGTGCCTCGGGCAGCTCAGCGGGCGCCTGGTTGGATAACTTCGAGGGGGTCTCGCCCCTCGCCGACCACGCGTTCTGCATTGCGGCCAAGAGGCGCATGCATCTGCCGCTGCTGCAGTCCGAGTGCACGTGCCTGAACCGACTAGCAGCGCCCGCCCGCGCGATGGCGCAGCGCGGCCCGGCGTGTGGCCGCGCGGTGGACGTTCGCGGCGTTCGTGCGCTCAACTGTCCCAGGGGAGGCGGCCCGACGCGCCGCCACAATGCCATCCGAGATGCCGTGGCGCTCTGGCTGCGCGGGGTGGGCCACCGCGCCCTGTTGGAGCAGGTCATCCCGGAGTGGTGCGCGGAAGAACAGGGCGCGGCCACGCTGGGCGTCGTCTACCACCGAGGCATCCACGGCCGAGTTTGCCTCGACATCAGCTTGGTGGGCGAGGTGGCCGTGGCCCAGACGGGGCGGCCGCATCAGGCAGCCCTGCAGCGCAGAGAGAAAGTGAAGCACCGTAGGTATCCATTTTCTGGCCTGGCGCCCTCCGTTCTCGACGTCAACGGCCGCTGGGGCGCAGAGGCTGAGACGCGGCTGCGCCGTGCCGTGGGGGAATTGCCCGAGGCCGAACGGCCCGCGGCACGCTCGTCCCTGCGCTCGGCAGCGGCCAACGCCCTGCAGGGCCAAATCGCTGAGCAGGTCGCCTTGGCGACGGAGGGCGCAGCGGGACTGGATGCAGGGGCCGCCCCGAGTGTTCGGTCTTGACTAGCTGTGGCTCCATCCCATTTGCGCGCGCTCCCTGACCCCCCCCCCCCCTCCCTCCTCACTCGCTTTCCTGGTGTCCTGGTTGCACGGCGCTGTTCAGTTCCCTTGTCGCGTGCATGATGCGCTCTTGCTTTGTCATGCCTGTTCTGCGCGCCGCGTTGTGTAGCCACCCTGCCTTGTGCACGTTGTGCTCTCGCCATGCCATACTTGTGTTGCTCTTAATTTCTGTCTTGGGCTGCCCCCTCAACCCACTCGTGCTGAGCCTTCATGCCGCTAATAGCACCTGTCCGAGGCCGCTGGCTACAGAGGCGTCAAGAGGCGTTAAAGATCGGGGCCGCCCCGCGGGTCCTGGGGCCGTCGGCGGCCCGCCGTCCGCTTTGTCGCCCGCCCGCGACGTGGTTTCCTCGCCCCCCTTTCCCCTCTCCTGCCCGTCCAGGGTCCCGAACGGGGGTCGGGCCGTTTTCCGCCTGCGCAAGGATCGGTTCCCGCGCACTTGGAGCCGTTGGTTTCAGCCTTTAGTCTTCTTGTTCTGCCTTTGCCCCGCCTTGGCAGTCGGCCGCCCCATTTTGGTTCGGTGTGCAGCCTCTCCCCCTTCCTTTTCTTCCTCGGCAGCTGTTTGGCTCGTGGGGCCATGTCTCGTACATTCTCTCGAGCTGCGCCTCCCGCGCCATCCACCCGGCCAAGTGATGGCGCCCAAGTTCTCGAGGCCCGCGCCGATGCCCTGGCCTGCCAAGACGCGCGCCGACTCGCCGAGTCATGATGCAGCGCCTCTTCGCGAGGCTTTGGCGGCGAAAGCTAAGGCGAAGGCTGAGGCGCGTGCGAAGGCCAGCGGTGCTTCCGCGGCCGACGCACCCACTTCCAAAGCAAGGCCGACGCAGCGCCCTGGCCAGCAGGTGAGCGCGTCGGAGAGCGAAGACGAGGTCTTCGATATGATGTCCGAGGCGGCGACCTTTCGGACGGCGCCGACACTGCCCGCGGGATCAGTGACGCCCGCCGAGGACGCCAACGGAGGCGGCGGTACGGGGGCCGCCCCCAGTGCCGCCGCCTCCGATGGCGACGGCACTGCTGCGGCGCCCGCTGAGGCCTCAGCGATGCCCACGTCGGCGGTGGTGCCAGTGACGGCGGCCGCCCTGGCAGCGGCAGCCACTTACGCCAACTTCACCACGTTGCAGCGCCGTGGGTTGGGCGCGATCACCCTCGCGCTCCGCGACCTCCAGCTGAGGGGGCAGGCTGTGGGCGGCCGCGGCGGCCGAGGTGCGCGCAGCGACCCCGACGGCGGTCGCGCCGTGGACGACGGGGCCGCCAGTGAGGCCCCGA